TGCCCGCCGTGAGGCTGCTGCGGACTGAGTCACGGCCAGGACCGCTGCGGGCCGGGAGCAGCGCCGGGGAACACGGCAGGGAATAAGTGACTCCGCGGCTCCGCGTGACCGGCCGGCCCAGGCCCCGGCGGGTTTGAGTCAGCTGCCCTCTTCCTCGGCCCCCCGGTTCACGGTAGCCCAAGGCCAGGTGCTTCAGGGCTCCCAACCTTCTTTTTTTCCCCGCACTGGCCCCACGGGTGAAAACGTCTCCTGTCAGGGTATGCGGTGGCCCGACCAAGCGCAGGCCACGCCAGGAGCGGGCGCTCTTGGCCCTTGCTGGCTGGGGGGGCCAAAGCGATTCCTGCCCCACAGCGGTGCCCCCAGGCAGCCGCGTGCCTGGCGGTGCCACGTGCACCGCGTTGCCTGGCCAGGCCTCAGGCTCCCCATGCCCTGACCTCCTGGGCTTGTTTTCTGAGCCAAATTGCTCCTCTCTGAAACCCCCTGGTATTTCCCCATTTTCTTTCGAGTTATTGCTAATTCATTTCTAAACATGCGCGGACTTTCGCCATTGCTGGTACCTCTCCCTCCCCACCTCCAGCCTTGTGGCTGAAAATTCCCGGCAGCAGCTTAACCTCGCAGCCCGCAGAAAACCCTGCAAGGACACCAAATGCTTGTAAAATGAGTTGCATCTCCCCGTGCACCGAGCTGGGGTTTGCAGTCTGCTCACAGCGGTACCCGAGCAGCACCGGGGACATCCCAACCTCCAGTGTCCCAGGGTGAGGGATGAAGATGCTGGCGCCATCCAGCCTTGCCCTCGGTGCCTGCAGCAATGGCCCATATCCAGGCTGGTTTGGGGCAGCCCTGGCCCCCAGGAGGAGCCTGCTGGCATCCCTCTTTGGCAGAGGGACCAGCTTCCTCTCCCCTACACACACAAAATCATCAACAGCTCTCAGGTATAGGTCAAAGTTTTATTTCCTTCAATTGTAATAGAAAAATAAGTGAGTGTAGTTCACCCACCACAAGCAGAAAGGGCAGACTGCCCCCTTTTCACAGTACAAAAAATATATATATTTAAATTCATAAATAAAATATTGTTACATTTATATTTTAACACAATATAAATATCACAAAATATATAGACGTAGTCATATATTAAAACTACATTTTTAAATACATCTGTCCAGTGCAAGGACATTTTTAAATTAACCCTTCAAATTCAATAAATATGTTAGTTGTACAAATATTAGTCTATAAATTAGTCCTGATGCAGGCTGGCCACCAAATTTTGTGGTCGTGGTCCATGTGGTCAGGTCCAGAGGCAGTGCCAGAGAGGCGCTTCCCAGCGAAAGTGCATCCTGCCTCCCGAGGAGGCTCGGGAGACACTGAGGGCACGGGGATGCTGAGGGCATGGGGAAGCCATGGGCAGGGGATGCCGTGGGCGGACGGATGCTGAGAGCACAGGGATGCTGAGAACAGAGATGCTGTGAACACTGGGCTGCCAAGAGCACAGGGCAGCTGCAGGCACAGGGATACTACAAACACGGGGACACCGAGGGCATGCGGATGCTGCTTCCAGATGCTCCCTGGGGTTTGCAATCGCTGTGATGGGAAGGTTGGATTCGACCCCTGGGTTGAGACCAGCCGCTCCTGGATACCCGCTGGCATCACGGGATCTGTTTCCACCTCTGGATGCAGCAAATCAGCGGCTCAGTGCTGCTGCGAGCCCGCGCTGGGTGCTGGGGCCAGGAGGAGAGCGTGCGCAGCACGGAGCTGCACGCCGGGTGCACAGTGCGCAGCTACTTAGTCAGGACGGGTCACCAGACCCATTGAATCACTGGAAAATCAAGGCAGGGTTGAAAGCAGGGGATGTTTCCGATGCGCGGAGCTGGCAGCCTGCAGTAACCCCGCAGTGCTGGCTGCACAGCACTGACCTCGCGGCGAGCAGCGCTGGGATGGTGCGCAGAGGCTGCCCCTGCCAGGGCAGGGCGAGTGGCTCCCCAGGGCAGCCGCTGTGGCCAGCTCTGGGCTGCCCTGACAGCATGTGGCAGATGCCAGGACAACCCCCTCCGAGCAGCTGGCTAGCTCCGTGCAGCAGTGCAGAGCATGGAGTTTTGTGCAAACGGTGCTTGGGAGCCGCCGCGGTGCGGGCCGTGCCGGACAGCTGCGAGCAGCGGCTGGTGCAAGCCCGGCTCCTGCTTGCACAAAGGATGCTGCAGTCGTGCACTGAACCAGGCGTGCACAGGCACGAGCGAGGCGGCCTCGCAGCCTGAGAGCGCTCTGCGACCTGCTGCTGCTCACCCTGCCAGATTCACATGCGCAATCCCAGCGGAGTCGGAGGTGATGCCCGGTTCAGCTGTGCATCCTGGAGCAACACGCTTGGCTTTCCATGCGTCTGGACTCAGCCAGATCCCAGGGAGAATCCACCACTTTGGGTCACTGAGAGCACTCAGGTCAGGATCCAGCCTCCCAGAGACACCCGTCCTGGATGGCGGTGGCGAGGGAGTCCTGCTCCCGCTCACTGGCCGTGTCCACACACAGCCCCCTTTTGTGGAGCTTCTGCAGCAAGATGGTGACAGGACCAACGCTGAGCTCGGGGGCAGCCGTTCCACCATGGTGATGGGGGCCAGTGGGGACAATTCATGTACTGTCGGAAGCACCCAAAGCTGATCTAGGAGTGTCTGACCCACTTACTGGCCCTGGGATCTCTTCTCGACCCACGCCGCTGCCGTTGCGGTTTTCGAAGGTCTAGGAGCCCCTTGGCTTCCAGGCTGGTGTTCAGTTTGCGCATGAAGTGAGAGTAGCTCCAGAGGACTCTGCATCCTTCCAGCTTCTGTTGGAAGACTTTGGTCACTGCTGGCTTCCGGGGGAGGGTGATGTGTATGGGCACAATGCCCTGGGCTCGGAGCAGGGTCTCGACGTTGTTGAGGAGCCCGCGCACCTTCAGGTGGGTGTTGGCAAGCCTCCGGAGGAGCTCGGAGCCGGGGGCATTGAGGTCCTGCTGGTGCTGTGAGATGGTCTGCAGGGCATGGTCCATGTGCTGCATGGCCCCGTAGAGCTCCTGCAGCGCGCTGGGCACCAGCAGGTCTGCCATGTGCCCCCGGGGCAGCCACTCCACCCACTTGCTCCCTCGGCACAGCTTTGGCACATTCAGTCCCTGGTTGCTCTCCTGCGAAGACACAAGCAAGGTGGTCACCTCCAGGTGGCCGGGAGCTGCTGGCCAGAGTTCCATGGGGTGTCTCCAAGGGACGGCAGCCCTAGAGGAGAGCGGCGGCCCCACTACACTGGCCCTCCTGATGGCAGTGCAGGGAGCCAGCACTTACGTAGAAGGTGAAAAGCTCCTGCGCATCCTCTGCCATGTGTCGCACCAGTGAGTGGATCTGCTTTACGTACAAGGCCTGGGAGCTCTTGCCGGCGTCAGCGGGCAACGCACAGAGGATGAGGAGACCTTTGGCCATGGCTGAGGAGGAAGAGGAGGGAGTGAGGGGGGCTGGAGAGGGGGGATTCAGTGTCACATCTCATAGGGCTTTGCCCAAGTGTGACAGCAGCTGAGGGAGAGCACGGGCACCAGAGAGCCACCAGGTGAGACCAGCATCCTTCCTCCTACCTACCATTTGAATCATCTCTTGTTCTGCTCGCCACCACCCTCAGAGCAGCAGAGAGACCCTCAAAGGGCCCAACACGGGGTGCTCACAGCCCTTCTGCCTCCCCTTCCCGCCCACTTCCAGGAAGAGGCACCCGCACTCGGAAAGGGCCCCGCCACCCATCGCCCGCTGGCGCCGCCGGGAGAGGAAAGCGTGC